CACCACACATTCTGAGCACAAGTTCAACGGCCACAAGGCCAGTTCACATGCAGGTATATATATATATGAAGCTACACATGCAAGTGCAAGTATATAAAGGTCAAGGTACAAGCAAGGTCAAGAAGTGAGCAAGTGAGGCAAGGTAGACACAAGGCCTAACAAAGTACAGAAGCGCTGATGGTCACAAGGCGCGAGTGCCTTGGTGAAGATATCAGCAGTGTTGGCCTCAGAGGCCACGTAGGCAAGGCGCAGCTGACCGCGCTGCTGCAGCTCACAAGCAAGGAAGTAGCGAAGAGCGATGTGCTTCGTTCTGTGCTCCAGTCTGTGCTCCCGACACAAGGCCAACATGGCCTTGTTGTCTACGTACAGAACTGGAGGAGAACGAGGCGGCTCTCCTAGGTCAGTCAGCAGGTAGGTGAGCCAGCGTAGCTCCTGTGCAGCCATGGCCCCTCCGTAGATCTCAGCCTCACAGCTGGAGCCGAGAACAGAAGACGAGCGGGTAGACCGCCACGAAACAGAGCCGGAACCAAGGCTGAAAGTGTAACCCTGTGACGACCGCTGCGTAGCCTAGTCGTCAGCCCAAGAAGCGTCTGCGTGACCAGTGAGGACCACTGCACTCCGCCCTCCAAGCACAAGCCCCATGCCCGACGTACTGCACAAGTAACGCAACACCCTCTTCGCTGCAGCCATGTGCTCTGGTCTGTGTCTCCCAGGAGCAACATAGCGTGCCAGAATGCTAAGAGGGTAAGCAAGGTCAGGTCGCGTGCAGGTCATCAGGTACATGAGGCAGCCAACAAGCTCTGGGTACGGGCCACTCGACTCTACGGACTCATCCGAAGGCAGAGCTGAGAGCGAGTGGCGAGTAGACAGAGGAGTGGCCTGAGGCGAGGAGTACGTGAAGCCGAAGCGCTGAAGGACCTGCTGCACCATGTGTGACTGAGTCAGGGTAATGGTGCGCTGTGCTCTGTCCCGGGTGATCTGCAAGCCAAGGTAGCTGCGCAGTTCACCTAGTTCTGTGCACGTGTGTCTCTTCTGCAGCTCGGACTTCACGTAGGCGAGTCCAGCAGTGTCAGCTGTGGCAAAGACCAAGTCGTCGACGTACACGAGGATGTAGAACGGCGGCAAAGAAGTGTCGGTGCGCAGAAACAGCGATGGGTCGGCAGTAGAAGGAGCAAACCCAAGAGCCGCAAGTGTAGTCCTCAGTGTGCCGTGCCACTCACGAGGTGCCTGGCGGAGACCGTAGACTGGCCGCCAGAGGCTCCACTGGGTGCCAGGAGGAAAAGTCCCAGTGAAGCCAGGTGGGCGGCGCAGCCAGATCTCCTCGTGCAGGCTGCCCTGCAAGAAAGCAGTGCTGAAGTCAAGAGAGTGAAGCTCGTAGTCACGGTGAGCGGCTATGTGCAGTAGTACCCGAAGAGCGGTCATCTTCGGGGTGGGAGAGAAGGTCTGAAAGTAGTCAACTCCCTGCCGCTGGCTGAAGCCATGAGCCACGTAGCGCGCCTTGAAGACAGGCGGAGAACCCGGCGGCCGCTTCACCCTGAAAATCCACATGCCACTGACGATGTTCGCCCCAGGCGGGGGAACGTCGTCAACGTAGGTGCCTGTGGACTTCCAGGAAGCCATCTCTGCATCCATGGCTGCCTGCCACTGAGAGGAGTAGGGACCCTCTATCGCCTCCGCGTAAGAGCGCGGAGTCGAGATGTCTGGTGCATCCGGGTCTCCCTCAGGGGCAAGTAGCATGGACACGAGATGAGGTGAAGCAGCCGCAAGACACTGGAACTCCTCCTGCCTGTCCTCAAGGACGTCCGTGCCAAGAGCACACTCACCCCCGACGGACGGAGGACAGACAGACTCAGACTCAGCGACAAGACTAGCAGCGTAGTCTAGACGACAGCGAGCAGCGAAGTCGACAAGCTCAGCAACTAGGGCAGACGCAGCAGTGGACTCAAAGGAAGGGTCAGTGACGACAGTAGCAAGGAGACGCGTGACAGTAGGATTGGCAGCACGAAGGGAGTCTGACTCGGGGTCAGCAAGAGCAGGAAGAGAGGACTCAGGAGGAGAAGGCAAAGGGGCACGCAGTGGAGCAGTGGAAGGACGCAGAGACATCCGGTGCGTGCCGGGGACAGGGGGAGGATGCTGACGCAAACTACGACCACTAGTGCGAGCAGCACGGACAGGCGACGCAGGGCGAGACGCAGGCTCACGACGCTCAGCAAGACCTCCAGTAGGACCAGTGTAGGGAGAAGGAGCAGGTAGAGGAGAGGCAGGCTGTAACTGTGACTCGGACAGGACAGGCGGTGGACACTCTAAGGGAGGAGCCGGACTAGCAGAGGGCGGAAGGCCAAGAACCTGCTCAAGGAGCGGAACGAAGTACGGCCGCGGCCGCTCAGCACCACCAGCACCAGAAGGGACAGCACCAGCACCCCGAACGACAGTACCAGTGCCAGTAGCACCCCCAGCTCCAGCAGCGCCAACTCCAGCACCCTCAGAGGCAACAGCACCAGAAGCACCCTCAGCGCCAACACCCCCAGCAGCTCCAGCTCCAGCCGGACCACCAGAAGACACAGCAGGTCCACCAGCACCAGCATCCCCAGTAGCACCGGCACCCGCAGCACCACCAGCTCCAGTACGAGAAGTGCCCGCAGGCCCAGCAGCTCCAGTACTCCCAGTACGAGCACCTCCGGGACCCGCGGCACCAGGACCCTCAGCAGCAGCAGAACCTCCTGTGCCCGCAGCACCTCCAGCTCCAGCAGCACGCCTCCAGCGCCGGGCAAACCACTCTCGCAGCTCCTGTGGAGAGAGTAGCTCCCGTCGGGACGAAGCACCCGAAGAACCGCCAGGCCCAGCACCACCAGGCGCCACATGAGCAGGCCCAGCACCCCCAGGCGCAGCACCCCCAGACGCAGCACCCCCAGGCTCAGCACCCCCAGGCGCAGCACCCCCAGGCACAGCACCCCCAGACTCAGCACCTCCAGGCTCAGCACCCCCAGACCCCGCACCCGCAGGCTCAGCACCCCTAGCAGCACCAGAGTCAACAGCTACCTCGACAGGCTCGACTGCGTCAACCTGGGACACACCTGAGGGGGCAGGACCCTGAGGGGGGAGGGGGTCTACCGGAGGGGGACCTGGCGTAAGGAAGAGCGGCGGGGGGGGGAGGGACGCAGTGCGGTAGGGGAAGAGACGGTAGTAGGGAACCGACTCGTCAAACGTGACGTCCTGGGAGGACAGAACACGGCGCGAGGTGGGGTGGTAGAACTGCCAGCCTGGCGCGTCAGGGGGGAAGCCAAGGAAGACGCAGGGAACAGCACGAGGGGACAGCTTGTCCGCAGACAAGTCGCGGACAAACGCCCGAGATCCCCAGACACGGAACGCAGACGCATCGCCAACCTTCCCCGTCCACAGCAAAGCAGGGGAGGTCTCCGGCATGGAGACCCGGGGCTGAAGGTTGATCTGATGCGCCGCGTACCGAACCGCAAACGGCCATAGAAAATGGGGGGCAGCCGCATGGACCATGGACGTACGAGCGACGTCCATGACCATGCCAATGTGGCGCTCAGCAATCCCATTTTGCTGTGGAGAGTCCGGAAGCGTGAAGGTCTGGCGGATGCCTCGTGCGCAACAGAAGGCTCGCAGAAGGTCAGAGGAAAACTCTCCGCCTCTGTCGGAGTGCAGGCGCAGAACAGGAAAGTCCGAGCCAAAACTCTCTCTGAGCTGGAGACGAGCTGCGTGGATCCAGGCGATCAACACCTCAGTGACCTCACCCTTGCGGCGCAAGGGGAAGACCGTGGTGTAACGCGAGTAGTCCTCAACCACCAGCAGGAAGTAACGCTCGTGACCCTGTCCACGGACGCGGGCTGGGCCCCACACGTCCATGTGAAGCGTCTGCAGCGGAGCCTCTGTCGGAGGGAACTCGGAGGAGTGAGGAGCAGCGCGCTGCCGCCCCTCGACGCAGGGAACGCAGGTGGGGGCAGGCCCCGGAGGAAGGGGAGGGAGGGACCGGGGGAGACCAGAGACAAGGACACGGGACGCCATGCCTCGAAGACGAGGCAGGGAGGGGTGACCAAGGCGGTGGTGCCAGAGGAGAGTCTGGTGAGACAGGAGACGACACGAGCAGGGGGCAGACTCAGGGCCAGACCTGGACGCCGCAGCAAACACCCGACCCGACGCGGCTACCTGAGCAGACTCAGCGACTGGAGGAGACTCAGTAGTCAGTGTGTACAGGCTCGACCCCGGCCGACGGGTAAACGTGGCCAAGTGACGGCCCGTCCGAGCACAGGTACAGTGGGTCGCTCGCTGACTCGCAGGAGTGAACTGGTGAACCCCTGCATCCTGGAGGTCAGCACCACTCACCAAGTTCGTAGAGAACGAGGGGAGGTAAAGACCTGACAGGGTGCCAGAAGGGGCCGCCGGACACGGTAGGACAGTGGAGAAGTGGGCAAGGAGGAGGGAGACTGCCAGGGAGACTGCCACTGGCCAACTAAGCAGCGTGAGTGTGGTGCGGTCTCGAAAGAAGGAGCGGGAAGCACCCGAGTCAAGGGTGAAGGTGTGGGTGGCCAGAGCCGACGCGATACCTGAGAGCGCAGACTCACCAGCACCTGGGGCAGCAGACTCACTGGCACCTAGAGCAGCAGCCTCACCAGCACCTAGAGCAGCAGCCTCACCAGCACCTAGAGCAGCAGCCTCAATGCCCGGGTCAGGCGGAAAACACCGGTAACAGTCACCCTCATCACTAATAGTCACAGCATACATGGCAGCAAGAATAGCATCAAGAGCACCTGTGGCGCAAGTGCCTCCGTGCTGTCACACCTGCTCGCATCGCAATGGCCTCTTACGCGCATCAGCAGAGAGAGCAAAGGGTTGGGAGGTCGCAGCAGTGCGGCAAGGCCAACAATTCCACTACTCTTTGCACTGCGCGCTGCATCCTCTCCGCTGCGCCCTCTCTTGTCTTGCCTCCCCCGCCCCGCACTCCACGTCATACCGCTGCTAGTGGCCCAAGTCTGCCCATGTGCTGGGGGCAGCAGCTTCATTGGGGCGGCACGATGGTGCTTCTGTGCGCAGGAGCTGCTGGGCGTGTGGTGCTGCACATGACAGATGCGTTGGGGGCGTTGGTGAACCAGGGACGAGGGGATGAGGGGGACAGGGGCGTGCTGTGCCAAATGCTGGCCACCGCACCGCCCTCCTGCACTGGATCTCTTGGGGTGGGCCCAGCAGTTGCAGGGCTCTTAGGCCTCTTGCCGTCCCTGCCGGACGCCCTGGTGCATGGGAGTGTGTGAGTGTGGCCGTGCGCCCACCACCACATGCACACTAGTGTGTCCGTGCCTGTACTGGACTGCTCTTCTGCGCCCGGCCCTCTCCTCCTCCACCCATACGTAAGCTACCACCAACAGCCTCCCCGTCACCACCTGAGGCCGCTTGTTGCCTGGGGTGCGGGTGGGTGAGGTGGTGCATGGGCGTGGAGCAAGGTTCGCTAGGAGGTGCGGTGTGGGTGGGTAGCGGGTGAAGAATGCAGGGAGAGGCAGAGCAGTGTGGTGCTGGAGCAGCCCCCACGGACGCAAACAGCCTCAGCAGCTATGCGGGACAGCGCTGTTGTGTCTGAGGTACGCAGGTCGTTTCTGAAAGCCTCGTGCTCCCACACTGGGCCATCTGGAAAGGAGATGTGGAAAATCTCACTGACAAGCTACGGGGCCTTGTGTGTGGTGATGCTAACTGCGGGGCGGAGGCCGTGTGGAGCACACGGTGGAGGTGCGAGGCACAGCAGCAGCAGGTGCCAACTGGCCCACTGTCAGCACAACCACACATTCGCTGCTTCCTTGTCTGTCCATGTGACATGGCTTGGGAAGCTTGTGCTGGCAGGTGGCTTGACTGTGGCGACTGGGAGGGAGGTGCGAGAGGTCATGAATGTGCAGAGTGAGGTGGTGCTGTGCATGTGGCACATGTGTGTGTGTAGAGCCACGTGCTGTCAATTCAAGGTGCGTCAGCACGCGTGGGGAGACTCACCTCGTGCTTGGCCGTGGCGTGTGTGTGTGTGGGGTGGAACACTCACACACGTGTGCATGCTGGTTCGCTGTGGCACACCTACAGAAGTGGTTGGGGTGCGCATCATGAGTGCATTGAAGGGCGGCTGCCATTGCAAGAGCAGGTGCGTGTGGTGCTTCACCACGTTTACTTGCGCCACTGCACCACGTGGATGGGTGCATAGCAGCACCCCGCCTCGTTCACAGGGGGGGCCTGCTTGAAGAGACTGGTGGGGAGCGCATGATGTGTTGCCATGACGCCCCTTATCCAGGGACAGACTGTTGTTATGGCACTACAAAAGGCTTCCTGCTTGCCACACATGCTGTTGCTGTCATGATACTTGTGTTCGTTTCCATGCATTGGAAGTTATGGTTGCCGTTGCATCCTGTCAGCCGCCGCCTCAAGTGTCGAGCTGAGGAACGAGATCAGGAGATCAAGTACTCACAATAGGCTCTTTGCCCCACACTCGAATGGTCCTTGCATTACTTATGGTGTGGTACAAAGGAAGATGCAAGCACACAAGCTAAACAGACACGCCAACCGGTATCCTATCTACCTCACACCCGCCCCCCCCTCCTCTGTCCGACCCTACTGGTCGAACGGGGGCTCAATCAGCTGGTGCAGCTGTCCCTCACAAAGAGGGATGATGGGACCCCGAAAGCCAAGCTCGTCCGCCGCCAAGGCCTCGTTGGTCTTGGTGCGGAGGGCATTGGCCTGCGCCCGCTGGAGGCACACGCTCCAACGCTGGCAGTACTCCGTCAGCAGCTTATCTGCTTCGTAGGAGGTAGGTGCTGCGTTAAAACGCAGCTTTGCCGCCAGCTCCGCGCATTGCCGTAGGTAAGCCATCACCCCTGGCGAGGGGTAGCCATAAGTCTCCACTGCAAGCGCGTGGAACCCCACCCACGCGTTCCTGCGGGCGTACTTCTCCTCCTTTTTAGCTGCTGCCGCCCTAGCCGCCCATCCAGGAGCTCGGTTGCAGTTCTCGTCCTGGTAAGACGCCGGGTCCGTCACGGTCACGTCGCACGTCCACACCTCTCCAGTCAGGGGATGACGAATGGTGACATCCGCCTTTAGATTTTCAACCAGAGAGTAGGCATACGTCTCTTTGTGTACTGTAAAGCCCGCTTCCGCCCCTATGTTTGCTATCTCATCCCGCAGAGCGTGGTGGGTAGCAGTCCTCCCTTTCCCCTTCTCGCAGCGCATGAGGTGGTTGGGGAGGCGGTCATCGGGGAAGGTGGTACGGTAACGGCAGTCACAGCGTCTAGGCACGGGGAGGGGGAGGCCTAGGCGGAAGGCAGTTGCGGTTGAGAGCTGGGATGGGCCCATCCGGAGCGAGGGGATGAGGGGGATTGCCAGCAGCCAGTCCCCCGCGCCTGGGCCAAGCACCGACTGCATCCGTTGCGCGTGGCCAGAAAGGGGGTTGGGGCGCATCCGCCTCGCCTCGCGCATAACCCTCAGGAAGCGGCGGGAGTGAACCGCCAGTTCCAGGCTCTGCTGCAGCTTCAGTCCCTTCGGGTCCGCCTTCCCGGCCTGGAGCACTTCTAGCGCCTCTGGGGGGAGAGCTGCCTCCGCAGCGGCGAGGCGAGCTGGCAGAGCGTGCGGAGAGCCGTGGGTCGGGTCCTGTAAGGGGAGGAGCGCGGCAACAGCAGGGTGCAGTGAGTCCTCCAGGGAGTGCAGGAGGTGTGCGGCGCTGATCACCGAGGCGAGGTAGGCGTAGCTGCCTTCAATGGCGGAGTCAGTGATGCCTAGACCTCCCAGCGTCACCGGCAGGGCCGCCTGCCGCCAAATCCTTCGTCTCTCCGTGGCACTCTTCGGGGTCACGATGTGGGCCGAGTCTAAGAAGGTTAGTAGAAGCTACTCCCCCCAAGTAGACCATTCCGCTACAGGTAGCGCCTCCAGAGGGGTAATTCTGGCCAAAAAGGAGGCACGGCGGCTGACATAGCGGGTGAGGAGGAGGAGGCTAAGCTGGGGATCCATTTGGGCCAGTAGGGGGAGCGGTGCTGCTGCTGTTGCTAGTCTCTCCCTCACCGCGCTGGCGCAGCCCTGGGGCGTGCCGATGGGGCTGCCGAGAATCTGCACCCCCTGATCAGAAATAGTGATGCCTGGGGGTACGGATGGGGGGTCTATTGCAGCAGCAGACCACGCCGCGCACTTGGCCGGGTTGTGTACTAGGCCGAGGGCGGCCAGCGCGGATGTGAGGTGGTCAAATGCTGCCGTGCAGGCCGATGCGTCACCGAGCAGCGTGATGTCATCGGCGTACGCCAGCAGGACCACCTGTGGGTGTGCAGCTGCGGTGGCAGCGAGGCAAGGGTGGATGCTTGCCACGAACAGGAGGGGACCGAGCGGGTCTTCTTGGCGGACTCCTCTAGCGCTCTGCAGTGGGGCTGCGCCGAAGTCATGGTCGAGGTAAAGTAAGGAGGGGGCCCCATAGGAGAGGCGGACGAGGGGGATCAGATCTTCTAGCGCCTCGTTTCTGAGTCCCTCGAACACCGCCCTCCTCTCGACCGCGTTGAACGCGTTCGCGAGGTCAATTTGCAGCGCTACTGCTTTAGAATGGACCTCCAGGTATGTACGCGCCGTGTGGATAGCCGCTTCAATCCCCCCCACTACTGCCACGCCGAACTGAAGGGGGGCAAAGTGAGATCTAGCGACCGGCGCGATCAGGAAGAGTGCAGCTTTGGCGATGACCCGAAGGAGACACTCTCCAACCGCGATCGGCCTCGTCCCTCCGTGTGGTTTCGTAAAGGCTAACAGGCGGGAGGCGGTAAGGAGCTCCCCCGCGACGGCAGGTAGTTTCCCTGCTAGAGCCGTGTTGGAGAGGGCTAGGAGGTGGGTGAATACTTCGGCATTTCCTAGGGCTGCATCGCGGATGTGTTCGAAGGTGGTTCCTGAGGGGCCAGCCCCTACTCCATTGGGGAGCTTGGCGATGAGCCTCCTGAAGTCGCGGGCTTCGATAGCAGGTGAGTTTTCTGCTGTGGCGGCATGTAGCCATTCAGGTAGCATTTGGCATGCAGGTGGGTGTCTCGCCGTGAGGGCGTCGAGTACTTCAGGTGCGTGGCGAGGTTGCGGTGGGAGGGAAATCGCCTCGGCAGCTTCTTCGTAAAGGCCGGCCCAGAATCCTTGGCGAAAACGCAGGAGCCGGTTCATCATCGCGCTCCAATCAGGTTTACGGGCTGACGAGGTGCGAAGGAGTATGCGCGGGAGGAAGGTCAGTAAATTCCATCCTGGCGCAGACTCGGGGTTGGCTGCCAGGTGGAGTAACGGCGTCAGCAGGCAAATCGCGAAGGACTCGCGAAGGTCTTTTGGGGGGTGGCGGGCGAGAGGTGGTTGGCGTCTGTCGCGCAACGGGTCGAGGTCCCAGTCTGCAACCTGTGCGAACAGGTCAGAGTTTTTCGCCAGGTCGTCAGGTTTGAGCATCGGGGGGGTTGGAATTGGGGCTGCAGAATTCCCATTGGCTGCCGTAGAGTCAACTCCGTTCTCTGTCGCGGCTCGATTTCCCCCCCTTGCTTGAATTCCCCCCGCGGCTCGATTTCGAGCTGTGGTTCGGTTTGCAGGTTCGCCTCGGGCATTCGGGCTGGGGAACTCTGCTCCCCGAAGCAGAAGTTCCAACTCCTCCTCGTCTTCCTCAGCTTCTGCTTCCAACATCCCCTCTCTTTCAGGGTTAAAAACGGGGTCACCCCCGTCACTTTCCTCATTCTCGACTTCCTCCTCTGCTTCCTCGCTAGGCGCCTCCTCGCCACCTTCCACGCCTTCCCGCATTAGCCTCTCTGCAGTTCTCGCGTAGCCGCTGGCTCCGGTGCGGCGCCGGTTTGAACCTCGTGTTCCACCACCTCTTCGTCTTCTCCCGTTCCCACGTCGCCCGCGGCGGCCGCTGCCGCGTCCCACGCGGATTCCCCGCGTTGCTCTTCCTCCCGTAGCTCCCTCGCGCCCTGGCTGAGGTGCGGCGTCCGCCTCGTCCTCACTTTGCCGGCGCGCTGGCGTCGGCTGCGGTATTGTCGGGGGTGATGGACCCATCCGCGGGACGAGATCTGGAGCTAGAGGGTTCTGCGGAGAGCGCGCGCGCAGCCGGAGCCTGCGCCTGCCGGGTTTCGTCTGCGTGTCTCTGCGCGCCCCTCCGCAAGCGAGCCCGTCCGCCGCTTCGAGCGTGGGCTAACTCTTCCTCTTCAGCCTGCCGCGCGGCCCACCTCGCCGGAGTATTCGTGGGCCCCCGCGCGTGTTGCGTCGAACCGCCCTGACGGTTAGCCGCGTCAGGAGCGCGGGCGCTCGCCTCCACATCAACCTCCTTGGCAGCCCTTTCCTCGCCGCCCTTCTCCTGAGCATCGTGACCCTCGTCAACGCAGGGAGGGCGATCAGCGGTCCCCTGCGCGTCCCCGCTCTCCTCGGCGCCCATCCCCCCGTGGTCGAGCAGCCCCGCGGTCACCGCGAGCGCGATCCCCCGCTCAGCGCTCTCCGCGGCGATCTCCGGCAAGGCGGGGCAGGGGATCGCCTGGGCGTCGCTGGGAATCTGGGCGTCGCGAACAATCCCCGCCGCGTCCGCACTCGGCTGGTTCTGGCGGCCGCCGAGGTCGGCGGAATGGTTCAGGACGTGGCTGGAATAGTCCCCGTCGTGATCCAGCCGTAGATCAGGCCGTGAATGTGATGGCGGCGGCGGTGCGTCAGGCGCGGGCGAGCGGGGAGCGGACGCACGTGCATATTGCCATAACCAATGGCCCTCCCCTCGCCTCGGACCCTGGCCTGGCGGCTCTACTACGCGCGCCATCCTTGCGCGAGTATCAGTCCGCGCGGGAGGCGAGGGCCCCGTTCCGCACCGCTCGGCAGGCCCCGGGCTTCCACACTCAGCAGTTCTCATTTGGCCGAGCCCTGGGCCGGCCGGCGGCGTTCCCGCGCGAAGATCAGATTGCACCTCCCCCCACTCGCGCGGGGAGAGATCCCATGCTGACCATGTGCCGGATGTTGAATCTGGCGGAGGCGTGCGAGGGGGTGGCGAGCTTGCAGATGGCGGTGTGTGGGGCCATGCGCAACTCTTCGGGCAGTTACGCTCCAGGGTCCCGAGGATCCTGCACGTCTTGGGCAGAATCTCTCATCCAGCCTTTGGAGCCCGTGTCGGAAGCGCCCTTAGCGCGTACCTTCCCCCGCCACGTGGAGGATCTTGTTGCGGCTGCTCGTGTTGGGACGCCGGAGGAGACCCTTCACTCGTCGGCGCAGCTCCTCCTCGCGGTGTCGGCGTGCATGCGCTCGATGCTTGAGATGGAGGGGGCGGAGCCGTACACGATGTAGGCTTCCGCCGCGTGTAGTACTGCATGCCTTCTACTCTTGTTGTTGCCCTTCTCCCTTGCTTGAATTGTGTGTGTGCTTTTTTGTAAGCCGATCCTTCGTTTGTTGTCTTGCCACCAGTAGCGCGCGGCCGAAGGCGAGGGTTTAAGAGAGAAACCGACCAAAGAACTGAATAATGACGGCTGAAACAGAGCCTCTAAGGCTTTATACTAGGACTAGAGAGGCTTGGGAGGCTAGAGAGGCTTGCAGCAGAGGCTAAGTCCTCTCGAGTCTCTCTCTCTCTCTCTCAAGCAGTCCTTCATTGATGGGTTTATAAGGATACAAGCATAGTAAGGGCAGGTGCTAGATGGTTCTAGGCATGCAAGGGGGTCTACTACCAGCTTCCAGACTGATATTCCTGCAGGGACAGCACAGTATCAGGCGGACGAGGCAACCACCCAGCAGCAGAGAGTCAACTAGCAAGCAGGCCGCCATGTAGTCTCTCTCTAATGGCTCTTTCATTGATAGTCAAAGCGTACAGACATGCAAGGTATAAGTCAACGCAAAGGTGGGGCTAGTACTGCCTATACTTCCTATTCACTCATCCTGCTCTGCATCCTCTAAGTGAGATTCAGTGATGGATCAAGAACCGCGAGGCAGTCCCCAAGGGACGGGGCCTCACCCACTGCTTCTAGTAGCGGGTTTTCAACTGCTGCTGCTATGTTGCACTTTTCCAGGTACCCAATCGACTGCCCACGTTGAAGAGCCACTGACCACCGCTGCCGGTATTGGTGTAAGAGCTTGGCAGCTTGGTAGGAGGTGGGCTCGGCGTTGAAAAACCGCCGTGCAGCCGTTTCTGCGAGTAGTTTCAGGAAGTCTACTGACTCTGGGCAGGGGCACCCGTATGTCTCGACCGCTAGTGGGAAGAACTTCACCCACTCTGGGCGATCCTTGTAAAGGCCGTGTTTCTTATCTGCTGCCTCCCGTGCCGCCCACCCCCTCCCCTTGGTGGCGTTCTCATCGCGGGTGCTGATGGGGTCCGTTATCGTCACATCGCAGATGTAGACGGCGCCAGTAGAGCGGCAGCGTAAGGCCAGGTCTGCCTTCTTCTCCTCCACTGGGCTGAAGGCGGCCGTCTCGATGTGCACCATGAAGCCTGCATCTTGCGCCATCCGCGTGCACTCATCTCTGAGTTCATTGTGTGTGTTTGTGCGCCCCCCCCCTGTTCCGCACCGAAGCAGGTGATTCGGGAGCCGCTTATCCGGGATCTCCACCTTCTTGGAGCAGTTGCAAACCCCTGGAGCCGCAAAGGGGAGCCCTAGCCGAAACTGGAGCGCGTTGGCATAGTGGGGAGCCTCAAGGCGGAGCGAGGAGTGGATGGGCACTGCGTTTAACCAATCCCCCGCCCCATACCCTGATAGGGACAGCATCCGCTGCGTGTGACCGTTGTTGGGGTTCGGGCTCATCCCCCGCACCTCCTCCACCTGCACCGCATAGCGCTGGCCCTGGATGGCCGTGGCCAGCCCGTGCTGTAGTTTCCCTGCAGTTGGAGCCGATCTCTCAGCCTGAAGAGCTTCTTGGGCTGGAAGCGGCAGTTCCCCTTGACATTCCGCTAGCCATTCGGACAAGGGGGAGGACTCGGTGTAGGGGCCACGCATCAGCGCACGCGTGACTTCCAGTGGGCCGGTGCACTCGCTGTCCAGGGAGTCAAGCAGCAGCTGCGCCTGCGTGTAGCTGGCGAGGAAGCTGTAGCTTCCCTCTACTGATGGGTCCGTAAACCCAAGGCCACCGAGCGACACGGGGAGTGAGGCTTGCGCCCATGTGCGTGAAATCTCCTCGTCCCCACGAGGGTGATTGATGGCGCATGCTGTTAGTAGTGTTTCTAGCAGCCTTCGTCCCCACTCAGACCACTCCTCCTTTGGCAGGAAAGGCAGTGGGGTTGTGCGGGCTAGGTATGACACTCGGCGGGAGATACACCGGGAAAGCAGCAGTCCCGCCAGCTGTGGCTCCATCTGCTCAATCAATCCCAGTGGTGCGCCCATCGCCTCCAGGCTGGACCGTATGAAGCCAGTGGTTGCCGTGGAGGTGCCAATGTAGCTGCCCAGCACCTTCAATCCGTCACTGCTGGGAGGGACCCCCTCTGGCAGGCGGTAGTCCGTGGGCGTCCTGCCTGCCCAAGCCCCGCACTTGGCAGGATTGTGGCTGAGCCCGATTTCTGCCAAGCGGCCCGTGAAGTGTGTAAAAGCAGCTGCACATGACGACGGTTCTCCCAGGAAGGTCACGTCGTCCGCGTAGGCCAGGCAGATGACCTCGGGGTGAGCCTCCGCAGCTGCTCTCAAAGCTGGTTGCATGGCCGCGGCAAAAAGAAGGGGGCCGAGGGGATCTCCCTGGCGGACCCCTGTTTCACTGAGCAGGGGTGGGTGGGCGAAGGCTGCATCCAGATGCAGCGTGGAGGGTTGGCCGTACGAGAAATGCACCAACGGCAGCAGCGGTTCTAGCTGTGATCCTTTCAAGGCCGTCGCTATGGCGTGGCGGCTGACACTATTGAACGCATTGGCCAGGTCGGCCTGTAACACCAGGGCGTCCTGGTTGGCCGCTGTGTAGGTCCGGACAACATGTATGACTGCTTCTGCTCCTCCTGGCACGGCTACTCCGAACTGTAAAGGTAAGAAATACTCTCGTGCTGCGTCCGCTACCTGAGTAAGTGCTGCCTTGGCTGCTAAACGCAGGATGCACTCCCCTATGGCAATCGGTCTCGTTCCTCCATCCGGCTTGGCGAGGGCTATCAAGCGCGAGGCTGTAAGAAGCTTCCCTACTTCCTGGTGCAGCTTCCCTCTCAGGATTGTGATAACCAATGCATGTAGGTGAGAACCGACCATAGGGTGTATCAGGGCAGCTTCGCGCAGGTGCTCGAATGTTGTCCCTGAGGGACCTGCACCTACCCCATTTTCACATTTCGAGAGGAGCTTCAGGAAAATTTCCCGTGATTCTGCCAGGTAAGTGTCTGGGTCGGGCTGGGGCCAGGATGCGTCGGAGTGCGGGGCACTAGGGTGCTTGGCGCGGAGGGATTCTAAAACCGCAGGTGAGGGCTTGCTGACTGGGGTGGCTTCCAGTGCCATGACTGCTCTCCGTAAGCTGCCACGTCGCGCCAAACCCTCTGCCCTGGATATTATCCCCAGGTCGTCTGGCTGGTGTCTGGGAGGGGGGGGGGGGGGTCCAACGAATCAACCGTCTCCTGGTACAATGCCTCCCATTCCCCTCGCAGGAATTTACGCAATCTTTCCCTGGTCGCCTTCCAGTCAGGGTGCCTCGGCGAATGCTGACGCAGCGTCAGGCGAGCCGCAAACAGCAGAATCGTCCAGGCGGGGATGGAGTCTGGGTCGTGTGCTAGTCGTAGCAGTGGTGTCAGCATTACCATAGCGAAAAGTAGGCGCAGTTTTTCCGGCAGGCGTCGTGCCAGCGGAGCGTTGCGACTATCGCGCAGCTTATCCAGATTCCAGGTCCTGACATTCGCGAATAGTGTGTCGTCCCTGGCGAGGGCTTCGGGCGACTTTTGGGGAGGGGGTTGTAGTTGCTGTTGGTTACCCCTCGCTGATGTTCGCACTACATTTGCAGGTGGCGATGTCAGGTTTGGTTGGGCGGGATGGTTGGCAGTGGTGGCAGGGCGGCGGGAAGCGGTTTGAATTTGTGGCGAGGGTCGCGGCTGGGTGGGTGTGTTTGTGAAATTTGTAGACGCGCCTCGGGCATGGGTTGGGCCGATTCTCCCCCGAGCTGGAGTTTGTGACTGGGCCTCCTCCGAGGCATTCGAATTTGAAGGTGAGTCTGCTTCTTCCTCCTCCGCCGTATAAATGCTTCCCGATAATTCGCCTTCTTCATTAGTTCTAACTAAATCGTTTAAAGCCCTTCTTGCTGCTGCCTGGAACGCATTCTCCGGACCTCCTTCCCGAGTGCCCTGCCACGTCCGCGACCTCCGCCTCGACCCCCTCGTGTCCGCGCGCTGGCCGCGGCCAGCAGGGGACTTTCACGACTACCTATTCCCGCGTTCTGACACATCCGTGCGTCCTCCAATGCCTGCTGCCGACGCGTTCGCCGAGATGGCGACAGAAGCGGCAAGGTCGGTGGTGGACCTAGGTCACACCGCTGAGAGCGTGCTTGCTTCGCCTCCGGCTCCTGCCGCCCCTGCCGCTGAGGCTCCAACAGCTCCCCCGGTTCCCCTTGCCGCTGCTGCGCCGTTAACGGCCCCAGTCCAACTGGCGTCTGCTCCCCCGCCAAGCCTCCCTCTTCCTCTCGGTGCTCCTGCCCCTGATGCGCCCGCTCCTGTTGCGCCGCAGCCGCCTTCGGCGTCGCCACTTGTCCAAGCTGCCGCCGGCGTCCCTGCACCGGGGACAGCGGTGGGCGCCTCCCACGACCCCGCGCACCAGGTCGCACTTGCGTCTGCGCCGGTACAGCCCGTCGCGCAGGCGCGCCCCGAGTCCCACAGTCGTGGTGTTGCTGGGGGCAGTGCGGCGGCGCATCGGGGGCGTGGTTCTCCTCGGCGTCGCCCCTCCTCATCGTACCGGAATGCGCATCGCGGTGGCCGCGGTGGCTGGTGGGGAGGTCACGGTCGCGGACATGAGGCGCCGAGCGAGATGCAGCAGTTACGCGACGACTTCCCCGGGATGTTGGCCGCGGCGATGCGCGAGGCACTGAACAGTGCGTCGATTCCTGTGGCTGCCCAGGCTCCTCCTGCTCCACACGCGGTTCCTGCGCCGAGTGCTCAGGCGTACCCGCAGGGTCCAGGCCCAGCTGTTGGCCGTGCACCACCACCCGCATCTCGTCCGGTCGCCGCCGCTCCGTATCCCCCTCTTCCATGGATTCCCCCCGTTCCGGACACGGGATTTGTGGGAGCGGGAGGCGGAGAGGCGAGGGGGCCCTTCCGCCCTCTGCGTCGCGTTGATGAAGGTCCGACTGCGCCCCCTCCGCCAGCTCTTCCCGTTCCCGCTGCGGCGAGGCTGACCGGGACGGGACGGCTGAAGTTCCCACGGCGACTCTCGCGCAGCTGTGGCGCTTGGTGGAGTGCCAGCAGGCCCTGACACTGATTCTGGTGAATTCGCACTTTGCCATCCTCCGGAACCCAGGGAGCACTCTCGATCCGATGGCGCGAGCTGATTGCTTGGCAGCGGCAGCGCAGTTCGCCTTCCTCCTGCTACCCGTGCTGGGAGCGCCCGCGCCGGGAGGCGTTGCGGTAACGCAGCTGGACCTGACTGTCCAGGATCTGACTGGGCACCTCCGTGAAGGAGGCGCTGTTGAAGCGCTTGGCGCGACCGCGTTAGTGGTCCGCCAGATGTGGAGGACCATGCGAGGGATCCTCGCGGCACTTGACGCCCACTTAATGTAGGTTTTGGCGTCCGCCGCACGTAGACGTGCTGCATCTTGACTATCTAGGTGTTGCGCTTGTTGGTTGCCTCCATTGTGTCTTGTTTGTCTTATGCACTTTTCAGATTGTTGCTTGTCTCCCCAAAGCACGCGGCCGAAGGCCGCGCATGCGAGCGCCGGCGCGAGCGCCGCTAAAAACTGGAACGAAATGAACTAATGGGAGAGGAATGGCCAGTCGGGCCCCTTATATAGCCAGAGGGCAGGGGCAGAGGCTAGATGCAGGGGCTAAGTCCTCTCTCTCTCTCTCGCTCTCTCTGCGCCGCTAAAAACTGGAACGAAATGAACTAATGGTCCGTTGTATTAATTCAGCAGGGGTACAGACATGCAGTTCTATCCATGATAACCTCTATCCCATAAGCCCATCAACTCACCCCTCTTCCCCGTGGCAAAAATGGCGAGGGAGGCGCAGCTGGTGGTATACCTGGAGAATGCAATGTACTCACCACCGGATGACCCGAAGAAGGCCGATGTGATCGTGCGTGACCCAGACAGTGGAGAGACCTGGATCACAGACACGACTATCACCGACCCTGTGCTACAGAACCGGGACCCCACAGCCCGCAAACCCCCAGGCTGGGCTGCAAGGGAGGCTCAGAAGCGGAAGGAAAGGGATTACTACCGGCACACAGAACACGTGGTGTTCTGCGCCCTGGCCGTCGAGACCTATGGGGCAAACGCGCCCCCCACGACGGCGTTCCTGAAACTGCTGGCCACAGCAGCAGCTAGGAACCGCTTCAGGGCCAGCCCCTTGGCGAAATCCACCAAGAAGATGGCCAGTTGGTTGTGTGTGCGCGTTCTGTCCGGGCCTGTGCTGCAGCGGAGTAGGTGGTTGGGTAGGCTGCAGTCGGCCACGAGCTCTCCACACTCGCACACGGTAGGTACGTTCTGTCGGATGCCCATGCGGAAGGCCAGGGCTGTTCGGAATTGCCCTGGTGAGAAGCAGAGGTCTGGGGTCAGGGGTAGGGCTTGCAGCCATGCTCCCGCTCCCTCGCCTCTCAGGCTGACGAGGCGGAGCGTGTGGCCCATCTCGGGGGCTGACCTGATTGAGCGTGATTCCTCTGTCAGGGTGTCGGCCTTTGCCGCGTGCACTTCCTGAGAGAGGGCCCGCTGCAGCTGGTCTTGGGACGGGGTTTCTTGCTCCTCACGGAGGTATTGCAGCGCCAGCGGCGGCAGTCGTCCCTCCATGTCTTGGATGGTGACTGAGTGTGCCGCAGACGGCTGTTGCTGTTGCTGTTGCTCCCTAGCGCCGCGGTTGCTGGCAGGTCGAGTGAGCGGAGCAGGCGTAGTGCCTCTGTCGTTGAGGCCAGGTAGGCTGGTGCTGCTTCTGTTGTGGGATCCGTGAGGCCCAGTCCACCTAAGGCCACTGGGAGGGTTGCTTGGCGGATGAGAAAATTGAACTCGGCTTCGCGGCGGGGTGGTTGGATGCTGGCGGCAGTCAGGGCGGTGTTGAGCAGTTCGGCGCACCACGCGTGCCATTCCGAGAGGGGAAGGACATCCGCTGGGGTGGTGCGCAGCAAGTAGCCGATTCTGCGGCTGATGCAGCGGGACAGGAGCAAGAGGGCATGCTGTGGATGGATGGATGCTAGGGAGCCCAGGGGTGCCGCCGCGTCTGTCAGAGTACTGCGGACCAGGTCAGCGCAGAAGCGCTGTGACCCCACGGGACTTCCCAACACCCGTACCCCCTCGTGGGTGAGTGGGAGGCCCTCGGGGAGCTCGTCACCCTCAAGCGGCGTCGTGGACCACGCCGACGATTTTCTGAGGTTGCAGGTGAGGCCATCCTGTGCGAGCAGCGGCTTCAGCAACTTAAGCGCGCCGAGCGTTGCTGTCGCCGGTCCGATCATGGTGATGTCATCTGCGTATGCTAGGATCGTGACTTCTGGGTGCTCTGCTGCTGTGCGTCTGAGGTGCTGCTGGATTGATGCCGCGAACAGCAGGGGTCCGAGGGGGTCCCCCTGCCTCACCCCCCTTCCGTTGGTAAGTGCCGTCGTGCTCAAGCAGGGATCGGTCAGCAGCTGAGAAGGCGTTGCGTAGAAGGAGCGGGTGAAAGGTATGAGCGGTGCTAGCGGGGTGTTGGCGAGTGCGTTGAAGAACGCTTTCCTCTCTACGGAGTTGAAAGCGTTTTCAATGTCGAGTTGGAGGACTAGGCTGGAAGGTTGTGAAGTGGTGAGGTCTCTGACTGCATGTATAACGAACTCAGCTCCGCCTGGGACTGCCACACCGAATTGTTGGGGTAAGAAAAATCGCCTTGTTTCTCCTTGCAGTTCCGAGAGTGCCACCTTTGCTGCCAACCGGAGTAGGGATTCCCCTATTGCAATAGGGCGTACCCCCCCCCCCTGGTTTCGCAAAGGCGATGAGGCGGGATGGCGAGAGTAGTGCTGCAACCTCGGTGGAAAGATTCGTGGAGAGAAGATGTGTTACGGCGGAGTGTAGGTGCCCCAGCACTTCGATGTTGCTTAGGGCTGGGTCGCGGTAGTGTTCAAATGTTGACCCGGATGGACCAGCCCCAACTCCGTCGGGGCAATCCCCAAGGACGTCTGAGAAACTTTCCGCGGTGCACGAAAATTGCGTGGGTGTTGTGTAGGTGTGGACCCAGTCGGGCAGCTCAACTTGGGGTTGGGGATGTTTCAATTCCAACTGCTGCAATGTTGCGATCGTCGCAGGGGCCGCTGGCGAGGGTGAAAGGGCTGCCAACGCTTTTCGCAAGTTACCCCGATTCACCAACCCCTCCACACGTGAGCAGATTCCCAGGGGGTCGTTTTGGTGCTGAGGTGGCTCAGCTTGGTGCAGGGACCCCACGTAGTCACTGTAGAGCTGGTTCCAGTGGCCACATCTGAATAGGTGCATCTGCTCTCGCAGCACCTTCCACTTAGAGCTGGACCTCCTGCTAAGTCGTAAGGTGAGACGTGGCAGGAACATGAGGACCCGCCACGCTCCCGCGCAGTTGGGCAGTTTGGAGATCCGTAAGAGGGCGGCCAGCATACAGGTGGAGTAGTCGCTTAGTATCTGCGGCGGCAGGCGGCGGACGATAGGCAGGTGGGTGGTTGATGTTAGGGTTGAAGAGTCCCAGCTCGTCGCGATCTCAAAGAGATCCTCCCTCGATGCCAGCTGGGACGCTGACAAGGCTTGGTCCGGAGGGGGTTGGGGTCTGCGGTTCTGTCCGCGTCTAGAATCCCTCTCCTGCTGCTGCGCCTGGTCCTCCCCCGCTTCCGCGAGAGGTGAGTCGAGGTTGTCGGGTTGCCTCAGATCTGACGGTACATATTCGTCGCCACTCCCTTCTGCATTTGTATCACCGATTCTCATTGCTTGCGCTGTCGTTCCCCCTCTCCCCCCGCGTCTAGCAAACGACTGGCGCGTGACTCGTTCGCCGGCTCCCCCAACCAGATTGGGCTCGGTAGTTGGCGCGGATTCCCCCTCACCGCTTGGCCTGCACTCCGCTGTCCTCCGCGCGCTCCTCGACCCCCGCCTCTCCCCCGCATGCTTCCCCGTCCGCTCCTCGGAGTGGCTGCCACAGGTGCCGCCTGTTGCGCCTGGGAGATCGGCGTCGTCGGCTCCTCTTGTGGCAGTGGAGCGCCCTGAGCGCTCGCTGATGGATTTCCTCGGCGCTCTGGGCCGCGACTGCACCGCGGAGAGCGATCCCGCTCCTCGTCCGCTTCCTCCTGCACGCCCTGCCGCGAGCGTACCTGTTGCTCCACCGGCGTCCGCTGATCAGATCCGCCGCCGCTTCGAGGACCAGCAGCGCGAGCTGGCTCGGCGCGCGGGCAGGTCCTTGTCACCGCCGGAGCCCCTGCGCTCGGGGGTCGTCTTGCGCTCCGGCGCAGAGGCTGTGGCGCACCAGGAGCGTTCGCCTCGCCGTCGCTCATCGGCAGCTCGCGACGATAAGCGGGAGAGCCGCCGCGATGATCGTCACGGTGCGGCCCGTTCGCCGCTGTCTCCTCATTCGCCTCGTCGCGTGGCGTCGCGAAGCCGATCCCGTGACCGCCGTTCGCATCGTCATCGTTCGCCCCCTCCTCGTTCATCTCGCCAGCGGTCGCCTGCCCGCCAGACGTCTGGGCGTCGGCCCCCAGCTCCGCGTTCGCCCCCTCCTGCAAAGCGTCAACGGCTCTACTCCCCTCGTCGCGGGGACCGTTTTCCTGGCCGCCAGCGTCAGCAGGGCCCATCTCGCCCGCAGTCGCCTGTGCGCTCGAGCGCAAGTAGGCGTGCGCGTCGTGGGCGACGGGGAGGTGACAGTCGCGGCAGAAAAGCGGGTCCAGCGCCGTCCGCAATGGAGCGCCGTCTTCTGGATAGGCTTGATGACGTGGAGAAGGAGCTTCGTCGTTCGCGTGCTGGGTCGGCGTCACCATTAGCTCCTCGCACTGCTCCCGTCGTCCCTCTCTCCGCGCTCCTGCCCCACAATCCCTTTGGATCCCCGGCGCGTTCAGAGCGGCCGCTGCCTGCGGGGATGGGCTTCGTAGGTGCTGGTGGCGGGCCGCCGTGGGCTCAGTTTGCTCCGCCGCGTCCTCTTCCTGCTCCGCGTGATCTCGCCGTGTCGTCTCACCATGCCCGCGCGTATGCGTTGCTTCCGCCGATGAAGGAAGTTCCCACGGCTTCCCTGGCCCGCCTATGGTCGCTGGCGGCGTCCCTGCAGAGCCTTGAGCGGATTCTCCAGGAGTCATTTGACTCCATGCCGGTGAGCCCTCCGAGCAGGTTCTCTCAAAAACCGCGAGCAGATTGTCATGCGGCGGCATCAGCGCTATTCGCGCTCGTAACGCCACTGCAGGTAGCGCCCTCGCCGGGAGCAACCTCGGCCAGCCAGCTGGCTGACTCGGCCCTGGCTCTGAGGATGCTTGTAGCAGGCCCTGGTACTCCTGTTGACGTTGTAGGCGCCACCGTGTCTGTGGTCCGCCAGTTGTGGTTGAACACGAGCGGAATGCTCGCTGCGGTAGAGGCGGACCGCATGTAGGCGCTCCCCCCTTGCGCGTATAGACCCGTTCCATCCTCTACTTGCTAAGTGTCTATGCTTGCTTTGTTTGTATCGGTTGCCTAAGCTACTACTGCTTGTTGTTTCCCCTTGCCATCCCTAACGCGCGGCCGAAGGCCGCCGGCGCGAAGCGCCAAAATTTTCAGCACTAACTGAAAGAATGGGAGATGGAGAGGCCGCCGTGGCCTTAAGTAGTCATGGCAGAGGGCAGAAAGCAGAGGGCAGAGGGTAGAAGGGGAGAGGCTAATCCTCTCTCTCTCTCGCTCTCTCGAACAACGCCAAAATTTTCACCACTAACTGAAAGAATGGGAGATGGAGAGGCCGCCGTGGCCTTAAGTAGTCATGGCAGAGGGCAGAAAGCAGAGGGCAGAGGGTAGAAGGGGAGAGGCTAATCCTCTCTCTCTCTCGCTCTCTCGAACAATGCCAAAATTTTCAGCACTAACTGAAAGAATGGGAGATGGAGAGGCCGCCGTGGCCTTAAGTAGTCATGGCAGAGGGCAGAAAGCAGAGGGCAGAGGGTAGAAGGGGAGAGGCTAATCCTCTCTCTCTCTCGCTCTCTCGAACAACGCCAAAATTTTCAGCACTAACTGAAAGAATGGGAGATGGAGAGGCCGCCGTGGCCTTAAGTAGTCATGGCAGAGGGCAGAAAGCAGAGGGCAGAGGGTAGAAGGGGAGAGGCTAATCCTCTCTCTCTCTCTCTCTCTCTCTCTCTCTCTCTCTCTCTCTCTCTCTCTCTCTCTCTAACGGTCCTTTGTATTGATAGTAGGGGCTGGTACAAACATGCAGATTCTAGGGAAGGGCACATCGAGCACGAAAACGAGCAAACAAGCAAGCAAAGACAGGCAAACTAAACCTACGGAGCACAGGACCTAGTGGGCACACACTTCTACCCTCCCCTTCCCCCCCCCCCCCTATTTTCCTACTAAGGTGCCTCTAGCGTTGAAAAACAGTCCCCCGGGTTCATTTCCCCCGCCGGTCCCCCCAGTGGGGGGTTCTCTGCTCTTGCGGCCAGGTTCAGCTTTGTGAGAAAGCTCACTGCCTGGGCTCTCTGGAGTGCAACCGACCAGCGCTGGCGGAACTGATGGAGCATCTTCGCGGCCTGATAGGTAGATGGGTCTGCGTTGAAGATCCTCCGTGCAGCTTTGTCCGCCAGCAGCTTCAGGAAGGTGGGCACCTCGTCACAGGGGCAGCCGTACGTTTCTACTGCCAACGGGACAAACCCAGCATACTCTGCCCTGCCGAGATATAGGCCTATCTTCTTGTCTGCTGCCTCCCGTGCTGCCCAGCCCCTCCCCTTCCTTGCAGTTTCGTCCCTTTTACTGATGGGATCTGTGATTGTGATATCTCCCAGCCACACCGCCCCCGAGCTCCCATCCCTGAAGGCGAGGTCGGCCTTCTTGTTGTCGACCGGGCTGAAGGCGGTGCACTCCTTGTGCACATCAAAGCCAGCATCCTGCGCCATGCGAATGCACTCGCCCCGTAGCTCATCGTGCGTGTTGGTCCGGCCGTGGCCAGTACCGCACCGCAGCAAGTGGTTCGGCAGCCTTTTATCTGGAATGGGGACTCGTTTGCTGCAGTCACAGCAGTCAGGCACCGAGAGCGGCATGCCGAGCCGGAACTGTAGGGCGAACGTGAAGTGGCAGGGGTATAACCGGAGCGCTTGCATGTAGGGGATCGCCATGAGCCAGTCCCCTGCCCTGTAGCCCGTGAGGGACATGAGGCGTTGGGTGTGGCCCATCAGTGGGTTCAGGTCCATCTGCCTGGATGCGGTGATCTGGGCAACACTCCGGCCTCCTTGGACTAAGAGAGCGAGGCGGTGTTGCAGTTGCCCCTTTGGTTTTGCCTGCTCCGCTGCAATAAGGTCCTGCGCCTCCTGCGTGAGGCTGCTCCTGCAGTCCTAGATCCACTGCTGTATCTCGTTGGGGCTGTGGTCCGCTGCTACGGGTATGTCTAGTGCTGCTGTCAGGGAGGCTCCTGCTTGGCCTCCTAGCTGGCCGAGGAGTGTGTTGGCCTGCACGAAACTCGCAAGGAAGCTGTATCTGCCCTCTACTGCAGGGTCGGCGAGGCCCAGGCCGCCTAAGCTAGGTGGGAGTTAGGCTCTCTCTCTCTCTCTCTCTCTCTCTCTCTCTCTCTCTCTCTCTCTCTCTCTCTCTCTCTCTCTCTCTCTCTCTCAAGCAGTCCTTCATTGATAGGTTCATAGGGGTACAGGCATGGTAGGAATAGAGCTAGATAGGCCTAGGCATTGGAGCTACTAATTATGCAAGGCAGGAACGTGAAGCAAGCAGAACATCTGCACACAGACAAACCAGTCAGGTGAGGCATGGCAAGCAGACAAGGCGAGGCAAGGCAAACCAGCGAGACAGGGCACTGTAAGGCAAGGCCAAGCACGGTCAGGAGTGCAGGCAGGCAGGCCATTCAGGCCAATCATGCAGCAACCGAGCCATGGCTACATCACTGGCCAACACCCACTCCTACCTACTGAGCCATCACAACCTCCAGCTCATCCTCCAGCACTTGCCAGAGGTCCTCCAGGCTAGGTTCCCAAGGGTCCCTAGCAGCCTGGGGGAACGCTGCCTCATCAGAGAGGTTTGACTTGTTCAGATAGGATGTTGCCTGGGAGCGCTGCAGCATCACAGACCAGCGCTGCCGGTAGTGTGCAGTGAGCCGTGCAGTCGTCGTTGTCAACTTCCCCTGGCGGTATTTCTTCTTGGCTGCTGAGGTGGCCAGTAGCCGCAGGAACTCCTGTGTGTCCGAGGACAGAGCCCCATACGTCTCAACCGCGAGGCCAAAGAAGCCGACGTAGTCTGGCCGATCCTCATATTCCCTGTGCTTCCTAGCCGAGGCCTCCTCAGCCGCCCACCCCGGTGGTTTCCGTGCCCTGGTGTCGCGCTGCTGGAGCACAGGGTCAGTCACTGTCACGTCTGTAACCCAGGTCTCGTTTGACTCCCTGTCTCGAATCGCCAGGTCTCCCCTCTTCCTGAGGATCGGTGGGGAAAAAGCTGATGTCTCGTGGAAGCACGTGAAGTCCGCTTCCCTTGCCATCCTGAGGGCTGCAAACACTAGCGCGTTGTGCGTTCTAACGATGTCGCCCCCGTACCCGCACCTAAGGAGATGGTTCGGCAGGCTCGTGTCGTTGATGTCTGAATACTCTCTCTTGCAGGGACACTTCTCAGTGACCGGCATGGACATGCCCATGCGGAACCCCAGCGCCAAGGAGAACTGACCAGGGGCAAATGTAAGGTCAGCTCTCGAAGGCACAGCGTGTAGCCAGTCCCCTGCCCCCACCCCCTGTAGGCTGATGAGGCGGATGGCGTGCCCGCGGTATGTGCCTGGGCGGTCTTTGATCGTGTCAGCCAGTAGTTCCGCTGCTCGCCTCTCATAGATGTGGCGGGAGAGTAGTAGCTGCAGGTTACCCTGTCCTGCTGGCTGCTCCCTGAACGCCTGTAGTGCGGTTCGTGCTGAAGCCGGCAGGGCTGCCTCCAGTGGGGCCAGCGGGTTAACTTCAGGTGGGGCAGGGCTCCATGCATGGTCGAGCCGTGTGACCGCCCTCTTCAGCAGGTACGCCTCTGGCAGGTTCATCTGCCGCAGTAGGGTGTGGGCTGCCATTACTGACGCGATGTAGGCTGCCGGTGCCTCCGAGGTAGGGTCGATGATGCCTAGCCCCCCCAGCCTGACGGGTAGGGTTCCTTGCCGCCACAACAGGCTCTGTTCCAGCTCACTTGCTGGGACCCGTAGCTTTGCCGCCGCCAGGGCCGTCGCCATCAGAGTCTCGCTCCACGACCTCCACTCCTCCCTCTCCAGCACTATAGCCGGGGTGGTCCGCAGCAGGTACGATATTCTGCGGGAGATGCTCCTCGAGAGTATTAGCATAGCGTGCTGTGGGTGCAGCTGAGCAATCAGGGGCAGTGGTGCGGCCGCTTCTGTGAGGCTTGTCTGTGCCTTGTCCGTACAAAACTCGGGCGTGCCGATCGGGCTTCCCAAAACTCCGATGCCGTTGGTGTTCATGGGCAGGCCCTGTGGTGGTGGGATCTCATTCCCCCCTTCCGTATCCGGTCCCCACCCCGAGGACTTGGCGATGTTGCAGCGGAGGCCAACCGATCGGAGCTCCCGTGTGATGGTGACGAAAGCCTCATAGGCCGCGTCCCGAGGGCCCACAATGGTGATGTCGTCGGCGTAGGCGACGATCGCCACCTCGGGGAGTAGCGTTGCCGTGCTCAAAAGTGTCGGTTGGATTGCCGTTGCGAAGAGGAGCGGACCGAGCGGATCACCCTGGCGAACTCCTCGGTTGCTCATGATCTGATCGACGCCCAGCTTGTGGTCCACTAAAAGCCTAGACGGGCCGTCGTAAAGCGTGCGTACGAGGGGTAGGAGTGATAACAAGCTCGATTGCGAGAGCGCCTGAAAGAACGCCGGCCGTTCGACACTGTTGAAGGCGTTCTCGATATCGAGCTGTAGCGCTACTCGGCTCTCGTCCTCCTTAAGCAGAGATCGAACTGAGTGGACGATGCACTCTGCGCCGCCTGTGACTGCCACCCCAAACTGAACGGGGAGGAAGTATTCGCGAATGGTCTGTGCTAGTTCCCTCAAAGCCGCCTTTGCCACTACGCGAAGTATTGCTTCTCCTATCGCGATGGGCCTAACGCCTCCTCCCGGTTTTTCCAGAGCGATGAGTCTCGAGGGCAGTAGCAAATCGCGGACCGCCTGCGTCTGGAAGGTGCTAAGGAGGTAGCTGATAGTTTGCGCGAGGAGTATGAGCACCTCCTCACTCGCGAGCGCAGGATCTTTGAGGTGTTCAAAGCAGGTACCTGTTGGGCCTGCTCCCACTCCGTTCGGGCATCGCTTGAGTATTTCGCGAAGGTCGTCTGGTGTTACCCGCAGCTCCGAATGAGTGTAGCCGGAAACGAACATTGCCGGGGGCGATGCAGCATCGGGGTGTTTCGCCTGCAGCGCGGCGAGTGTCGCTGGTGTGGCCTCGGCGAGTGGGGTTGCGCGTAACGCCGCAACTGCCTTCGAGATATTACCCTTCTTCATAAGTCCTTCCGCCCTAGCACAGAGTCCAGCGTCATCCGCTTGGTGGCGTGACGGGTTCTCCGTATCGGGGATGACCCTAGCCTCCTCAAAAAGTTCCGCCCAGCTGCCTTGCTGGAACCGGTGCAGCCTTCCCTCAATCCCAACCCACCGACTTCCTTGAACTGGTTCGGGAAGGGGCCGCAAGGTCAGCCTCGGGAGGAATTGCAGGATCACCCATGCACCTGGACAGTCGGGAAATTTCTGCAGGCGTAGGAGTGGTGCCAGCACGCAGAGGGTGTAACTTTCCAAAATTTTGGGGGGCATCCTCCGAACCAAGAAAGGTTGGTCCCCCCGCTGAAGTGGGGCAACTTCCCACGTGGCTGCCTGCTGCCAGATGGCCTCGTTTGCCGCCAGCTCGGCCGGTGACTGTACGTTGGGTTGCCCGGTTTCTCTCTGGCTCCCACTCGTCACTACTCCGATCTCTCCCCTTTCGTGGGGGTTTCTCTCCTGGGGGTTTCTCGCACCGGGGTTTCTGTCCTGGGGGTTACTCCCAATCTCCCTCCGTCCCCTCTCTCTTCCTGTAGTGTCTCCCTCCTCCTCTAGCGAGATCTCTTCTGAGGTTTCGGGGGTCTCGGCTACATAATCCCCCCCGTCCTCCCCATTCCCAGTGTCCCTCTCCTCCTGAATCGTCGGTGGCGCCTCCTGCTCCGGGCGATCGTGGCGTTCCCTCCACGTTCCTGATCTCACAAGCGCCTCCCTTCCGCCGACGATTGCGCCCCCGCCCCTTCTTCCCCCTCTTGCCCCGCGTCCTCCTCCTCGGGCCCCACGGCTCGGCGCTCCTTCCCCGGTCCGGCTCTCATCGTTCCGCCCCCCTCGTCCGGCCTGTGGCGCTCTTCCCGCCGGGATCCACGGTGAGTGTGCCAGTCCCAGTCTCGGACGGCCCCATGTAATTCCTTGTGAGCGTGTGGAGCTCCGTGTTTCCCGCTGTGGGCCTTGTGTAGTCGCTGCCTCCGGGGCGTTGTGTCCTGCCACGTGCCTGACGTCAGCTTCCTCGTCGCCTTCCCCTCTTTCTTGTCCCACAGATGGAGGTCGACGCTCTGGCGATAGTGGCGACTGCTCTTGCTCACTCCAGCCCCGGAGGGGTCCCGGGGCGCCAGGCCCCAGCCCTGCTCCGGGCCGCCTCGGCGCTGGCTGGGCACGGAGCTTCCTCCCGCCCCTCCCGTGAGCGGCGCGTCCAGGGGCGCCGGTCCCGTGACCCCGTCTTCCGCTCGCCGCCTGGTCGCGCTCCTGCGTGTCTGCGCCCTCGGCAGCAGCAGATGTTCCGGCGCCCACAGCGGCCACCGATGCCTCCCCCTCGATCAGGGCGTCAGCCAGGTTCCCTGCCGCGGTCGCAGCAGTCATCGCCGCAGCCAACACCGCTGCCGGTACCGGCGCTGGTGACGCAGACAACGTCACCGCCTCGGACGGTTCCCGATCCACCGCCAGACCCAGCTCCAGCGTCTGCTGTTGTGCCCCCTGGTGGTTGGCAGAACGTGAAGTTGAGCCGCCGCCAAAAACGGCGTCAGTTCTGCCAGCCCGCCCCAATGCCGTCACAGCCTCCTCTGGCACCTCCGCGGCAGCAGCCGCTTCCCCCACCATCTCCACCGACGCAGTCGCCGCTGCGACGTTTCCCCTTTCCACCGCAGCCGCCGCCGCCGCCTCGCCCCTCGACGTCTCCTGCACCTCAGCCCTCCTCATCGGCTGCTCCGTCGCCGGCGCCGTTGGGATGCCCGCAGCTGTTTCTTGGCGGGAGGCGCATCCCAATCCCGTGGGAGGTGATGGGGTATCTGAGGGCGGAGGAGGCTCCAGGTGTGCAGTCGCCCCCGCCATCAACTCTGCCATCGTCTCCTCCTCCGCCTGTCGGTCCTGATCCCTCTCCCCCACTGTCTCCGGAGGGGATTTCGCCGCCGGGCTCCCCGCCGCGGAGCAGGGCCCACCACGTCGCCCAGCGCGTTGGGCACGTGGGGACATGCCTGACGTTGTTGGCAATGGTCCTCGACCAACTGCACCTTTTCCAGCTGCGGCAGATGCCGGAGGTGCCTCCGGTATTGTCGGCAACGGAGCAGGAGGAGGGAGTGGCAGCGGCGATGCAGATGCTGGAGATGCTGCCTTTGATTGGGCTGGTCCCGGACTCCCCTGGCGCCGCCTTGGGACCTGGTCCCGCTGCGCTGAGGCGGCTTGTTCTTGCCGCCCTGAAGGCCCCACGGGACGTGGTACCAGCTGCCGCATCTGTGCTACGCTGGATGGACGGCCGGTTGAGTCGGATCCTGGCCGAGTAGTGGCCCTCTTCCCTGTGCCTACCTGCTTGGTTACAGGCCTGGCCTTGGGCTTCCCCATGGCGGTATCTCCTTGCCTGGGGGTGATCTTGTTGTTGTATATTATCACTGGTGCATGTTATAGCCTTCCATGATTATAGACTTGTCCCCCCTAGTCCTTGTCACACCTCACACGCCGGATTTGGAGAGTGATCCTAACTCACCAGTGAATAATGAGCTCACTAGCCTAGATCCAGGGCCTTTATACTAAGGAAACAGGCCTAGAAATGGCTAAGGACTAGATCCTAGAGAAGAGAGGCCTAGAAATGGCTAAGGACTAAGGCTATGCCATCTCTCTCTCTCTCTCTCGCTCTCTCTCGCGCGAGCCGCCGGATTTGGAGAGTGATCCTAACTCACCAGTGAATAATGAGCTCACTAGCCTAGATCCAGGGCCTTTATACTAAGGAAACAGGCCTAGAAATGGCTAAGGACTAGATCCTAGAGAAGAGAGGCCTAGAAATGGCTAAGGACTAAGGCTATGCCATCTCTCTCTCTCTCTCTCGCTCTCTCTCGAGCGAGCTGCCGGATTTGGAGAGTGATCCTAACTCGCCAGTGAATAATGAGCTCACTAGCCTAGATCCAGGGCCTTTATACTAAGGAAACAGGCCTAGAAATGGCTAAGGACTAGATCCTAGAGAAGAGAGGCCTAGAAATGGCTAAGGACTAAGGCTATGCCATCTCTCTCTCTCTCTCTCGCTCTCTCTCGAGCGAGCTGCCGGATTTGGAGAGTGATCCTAACTCGCCAGTGAATAATGAGCTCACTAGCCTAGATCCAGGGCCTTTATACTAAGGAAACAGGCCTAGAAATGGCTAAGGACTAGATCCTAGAGAAGAGAGGCCTAGAAATGGCTAAGGACTAAGGCTATGCCATCTCTCTCTCTCTCTCTCTCTCTCTCTCTCTCTCTCTCTCTCTCTCTCTCTCTCTCTCTCGCTCTCTCTCCCGCTCGGTTAGGAGATAAACCGACCAAATAACTGAATAATGTTTCCAAAGACCAAAGAAACCGACCAAAGAACCGACCCGCTCGGTTTGCCCCACACTCTCTCTCCCAACCGCCCAACCCCATCAGGTGTGCAATGCGGTGGCGGTGGCAGCACTGCTGAACGCCACGCTGGTACTGCCCACGCTGCTGCTCAACAGAGTGTGGAACGACTCCAAGTGCACCCACGCCCCTCCACCATTTATCTGCTGCACCTCCCTCTCTTCTCATCACCTTCCCTTGCTCGGCCTTATCATGCGCCCTCTTGAGTTGCATTCTTCTCTGCTACCTCCCCTCTCTCCATCTTTCTCATCTCTCACCTCCCCCCTTTCTCATCTTCGTCCAACCTTTCCCTTCCTCACCCATGCCTTCCCACTGCCCATCTCTGCCACCCCTTGTCCCCTCCCCCCCGCCCCCCCATGGCAGCACGTTTGCCGACATCTTTGATGCGCCATTCTTCATCGCGCACCTCGCCCCCTTCCTCCCCATCGTCCCCACCCTCCCCCCCAACTCCTTCCACGTGCCGCCCAACTACTTCCCTCCGCCGCCCCTTGCTGTCCGCCTGCGCCGCCTCACCCGCCTCTCACTGCACGTGGCGGCTGGGCTAGCCACAGGGCGGCGACCGTTGATGCCGCCCTATGTGCTGCTGCCGCCCAAGATCTCCCCGCCCCAGTGGGCGAGTGCGGACTACTATGTGGCGCATGTGGGGCCTGCGCTGAGGGACATAGGGTGAGCGTCGCCATGGCAGGTGGGGCTTCCTGTACCATGTCACGGGGCAGGAATGGTGGTGCAGGGCAGGAATGGAGGTGCAGGGCAGGAATGGAGATGCGGGGCATGTTATGGCCTGAGAGCAAACGTCTAACATCCATCATATATACCCTGTTGCAACCACCTTTTCCCTACTTCCAACGTCTCCTCCTCATGTGACCCTTGTCTCCCCGTCTCCTCCTCATGTGACCCTTGTCTCCCCGTCCCGCGCCACTCTCCCCCGCCCATCAGAGCAGTGCGCCTGAACCCATTCGCCAACCGCCTCTCCTCGCGGGGCCTGCCCCTCTCGCTGCAGCGCCTGCGCTGTCGCTGCAACTTCCACTTGCTGCGCTTCCTCACGCCCATCCGCACTGCTGCCCTCACCGCCCTCCACCGCCTCTCCGCCCACGCCGCCGCCGCCACTGCCACTGCCGCTCGCTCTGCTCGCTCCTCCAATGGGCCACCTGTCAGCTCACTGCCTGCCGCTCTCCTGCCCACGCCCACCCACGTGCCGCCTGCCCCCCTGCTGCCGTGGATCCGCCCCCCAGCACGGCGGCGGGCGCAGGCGGTGTATGTGGCGGTGCACGTGCGGTTTGAGAAGGACATGCTGGCGTTCTCACGCTGCTCCTTCTCCTCCTCGCCCGCGCTGCACCGCGACCTGCAGCGGTACCGCACCTTCGCTTGGTCCCGCTTCCACCACTCCCCCGCCGCAGCCGCGTGGGAGTGGCTCAAGGCTGCGCTGGGATGGGGGGGGCAGGCAGCGGCAGGGCAGGGCAGTAAAGTAGGATCCATAGTGGGACGCAACATGAAGGGCAGCAGTGGCAGCGGGGAGGAGGGGGCAGAGGGCGAATCAGCGAGATCATTGAGGGAGGCGGGGCACTGCCCTCTCTCACCGCTGGAGGTGCTGTCGCGTGCTGCCATGGCAACAAGGCTGTATCTGATTGCCGTATCCATGCTGTGATTCATATCCCCATTGCCTCCTCACATGGCAAGGGGATGTTGTGAAACCATGCTCATGCCCCATCGTTCTTTCCTCACCATGCGCATGTGCCTCTGTCTCTCCATTACGTGCAGGTGGCGTTGTTCATGAGGGCGGCGGGCATATCACCAGCTGTGCCCGTGTTTGTGGCGTCAGGCGAGCTGTACGGCCCACAGCGCCTCATGAACGCCTTCACAGCACTCTTCCCGCGCACCCTCACCAAGGCACACCTGCTCTCGCCCGCCCAACTGCGCCCCTTCCAGGTCTCCTTTCCTAAAGCATGTGTGGGCGAGTGCGTGTGTGTGTGTATGTGTGTGCGTGTGTGTGTGTGTATGTGTGTGTTGTGTGTGTGTGTGTGTGTTGTGTGTGAGCATGATTGTAAGGGTGTGGGTGGCTTGGCATGGTGTGTAGGTGTAACGTCGACTCCCATGTGCCATTGGAATCTGAACCCAAGTCCAATGGATGTCATACGTGCTTGTCAAGGCATTTCGACGGAAACGAGGAAGCTTCTAGAAGAGCCTTGAACAGGAGTTGCATGCGATGGTGCTGTGTCTTCACTCTTGGATGTCCCAGTTCTTTGTGCTTGTGCCAGCTCATGAACGCTCCACTTCCCTGTCCCATTCTCTCCTGCACTCTTCCACTTCTCCGTCTCCCACTCAACCCCTCTACACCCTTCTCACCTGCAACACTCCCAATTTCCACCTGCGCGCCATTCAGTTCAGCTGCTGTGAGGTTCTTTCCTTGATCTTGACCATTCTTCCTTCTACCGCTTCGCGTTCTCACCCCCACCTGCACTCCCCTCCTTGCGTTCTGCTCCCGCCAGGACCACGCGTCGCAGCTGGCGGCAATAGACTACCTGATAGTGCTGCATGCACCGCTGGTGGTGCTGTCCCACGGGTCCAACTTCGGGCACGTGGTGACGGGGCAGCGCCGCTACCTGCACGCGGGCCACGCGGGCGTGCTCAAGCCCGACAAGCGCCGCCTCGCCCAGCTCTTCACCCACACTCACCTCAGGTGCCGTGTGGGGGGTGGGGGACAATGGGGTAGGGCAACAAGTGGGACTGGAGGGTGGGAGCGGGTATGGGGCGCGAGAGAGGGCGACGGTTGGGAATAGTAGGTGGAGATGCTCGTTGTACTGCTGCTCCCAGCATGCTGTGCTGCCAGTCTTCCTGCTGCTCCCACCCGCACTTGCTTCTAATACCCTCCCTCCTATTCCCCCTGCCCCACAGGTGGGCGTCCTTCCGTGCATCGGTGCATGCACTGGTGAGGGCGGGCAGAGAGGCCGAGCACAAGGTGGAGGCGGGGGGACAGGTGGGCGCGGAAGGGGGAGATGAGAGGATGGCGGCGAGGGAGCGAGTGGGGAATGTGACTGTGTTGGAGGTTGCAAGGTGGGGTGTTGGGGAGGGCGGGCAGCAATTAAGGATGGATGAGGGTCGTCATCAGAAGCAAGATACTAGTGAATGGCGGAAGGGGAGAACGGGCAAGGAGAAGGAGAATGAAATGTCTCCATATGTTATACCCCAGAGGTACTGTATGTGTGTACAAGATTCAAGGAAAGCTGTTAATCAAGGTGCTTCTTCATGAAGGCCAGTCTAGCTGTCAATACGCCTACTTGCGTAGGCATAATTTCTACCGTCATCGCCCGGATATAAGACATATATGCCTTATCTCGTACACTACTCAAATGCTTGGGTTATCTTGTATTTGGGATGGTTTATGGTGTCTTGTAAGGGTACATTCCGCTGTGGACACATGTCCCAATCGATGTGTCCCAATCGTTTCTACCGCACTGCATCGTATTACACCAAATTGCACCCTAGTTTCGAAATTTTCGCGTCTCTGGTTTAGTTCGGTTCGGAGCGGTACACTCGATTGGGACACGTCGATTGGGACATGTGTCCACAGCGGAATGTACCCTACCCTAAGTCTTATAAATGGACAAAGAACCGTTTAGAAGATACCCCCTCGCTATACAATTGCCCCTAACCCCTACACTGGCTTAACTCATACACACAAATAGGTGTCTTATTATGAGGCTAGCCTTTTATAAGAAACACCCAGATAATAGACAACTCCTGTCTACTATTCAACGCTGTCTACTATTCAACGCTGTCTTGTATCCGGGCGGTGACGGTAGAGGTTGTCCTTGCTATGACCAGTCTTCAACGGTCCTTGTTATTTATCAAATAATCGCTGCCTACTTCAATATCAGACACATGGGCTTATACTTCTTCACAGAAACGCACTCGACCTGATGAATCGGATAGGAAATTGTTACGAGTGCAATTGAGTGAGCGAGCGAGAATTGCACTATCGAAGCAAGAGTACAATGAGCGAAGGCATGAGCGAAGAATATATAGCGAAACTACAGTGGTAACGGTAATGGACTGTGGTTGTCGCGCGACGGGCCTGGGACTGAGGTTTGGGGAAATGTCGAAGCGGAGGCCCGGAGCGCGGGTTACCCGCCGAGCCGTGAGGTCGGGGCGCGACGTGCGAAAGTGGCGGGAGGATTGACGATGCGAGGGTTTGCGAGTGGTAACGGTGCTGACTGTGGTGCTACAGTGGTGTACGCGCTGAGCGTGGACGCAAAGTAAGGAAAAGGAATTTTCCTTACACTACCCCCCCCCCCCCCCCCTAAGGAGGTCCTCCTTACGAAAGTGCGTGTACATCCCTGAAGTTTCGGCTGCGCAGATACTCTGTGAGGACGGGGTGGTTTTTTACTCTGTCCAGGGGAACCCAGTTGTCTTCGGTGGGTGTACGGTCTTTCCAGCGGATCAGGAACTCGATCCTTCGGGCTCCTCGAGGGTCACGAACTCTGTGGCTCAGAATTTTCTCGGGTGTGATGATTGGTTCAGTCGGCGGTCGTGCCATGCTGGCTGGGCGATTTCGTGGCAGTTGGCTTGTGGACGGGATGCAAGGGCGAAGCAGGCTGACGTGGAATGAGGGGCTGACGTACCAGTCAGCGGGGAGGAGGAGGTGGCGGTGACGGGCGTAATCATGAGGCTTATGCGAAATGGCCCACAATATCGGGGGCGGAGTTTTGGGGTGATGGGCAGTCGGAGGTTCTGAGTGTCGAGTAAAACTAGGTCGTCTTGTCGGGATTTGGGGTCATGGGTACTATCGGGTCTTGTCCGTAGTTCAGATAAAACGGTGACTGTTGGGTCGTGGCGGATGGTGAGTTGTTGTATGCGAACTCAATGAGTGGCAGCTGTTGTTCCCAGGTGGTTGGGTCGTCGCACCTGGCTCGGATGAGTTGCTCCATAGTCTGGTTTGTCCGTTCTGTCTGTCCGTCGGTTTCGGGGTGGTACGAAGAACTGAACTGTAGTCGCGTGCCGAACTGCTGCCACAGGTTCCGCCAGAAGTTGCTGGTAAATTTCGTGTCGCGGTCGCTGATTATCGCTGCTGGTATCCCGTGCAGTCGAACGACGGTGGAGATGAAGAGGCGTGCTGTTTCTTCGGCTGTGATTGATTTTTTGCAGGCTGCAAAGTGTGCCATTTTCGTCAGTCGATCGACAACGACCAGGATCGCGTCGTTCCCACTCGCCCCGGCCGGTAACCCCGTGACGAAGTCCATCATCACCTGCTGCCAAGCACGCTCTGGGGGTGGTATCGGCTGCAACTGTCCTGCCGGCCGCTGCCGTGATGATTTCATGAGCTGGCAAGTGGGACACGATGTCACGTGTCGTTGTACGTCGGTCAACATTTCGGGCTATTAATAATACCGCTGCAGCTGCTGCCATGTTTTCTCTACCCCGAAATGCCCCGAGGTAACTCCGTCGTGTGCCTCCTGTAACAGTAATTCCCGTAGCAGTGTATACCCAGGCACCCAGATGCGGTCGGTCCCGGCTTTTACGTAATAGACTCCCCTTGCTGCTGCGAACTGCTGCGAATTTCCTCCTGTGAAGAATGGATCCGTTTGGTACCCGTGGGTAAATAGGCATGTCAGTAGGGGGCTGGTCTGGGCGAATAGTATTGCATGGATCTGGGCAGTGGGCCAGGTCAGTGCGTCGGCGATGTTCGAGGCTCCCTTTTTGTAGGTGACCGTGTAGTGAAAATTGGACTCGAGAAAATCGAGCCAGCGAATCTGTCGTGGGTTGAGGTCTGGCTGTGCGCGGAGGTACTGTAGTGATTTATGGTCTGTCCGTACTGTCACGTCTGCGCCGGTCAAGTAACAGCGCCACACTTTGAACGTGTGTACGATCGCAAGCATTTCGCGGTCGTGTATCGGGTAATTTTTTTCGGGCGGATGCAGTTTTCGTGACTCGTATGCGATGGGTTGTAGGCCGTTGCCGAAGTCCTGTAGCAGTACGGCTCCGATGGCGATGTCGCTTGCGTCGGTAACTACTTCGAATGGGCGGTGTGGGTCGGCGGTGCGCAGGACGGGCGGTGAACAGAGAACATTTTTCAGGGCAGAGAAGGCAGCATGCTCTTTCTCCCCCCACGTAAAAGCGAACCCCTTCCGTAACAAGTCCGTCAGCGGCGCTGTTAACCGTGCCATGTCGGGGACGAACCGACGCACGTAATTGACGAACCCCAAAAAGCTCTGTAGTTCCGTGATATTCGTCGGGGGGTGCCAAGCTTTCACCGTGTCTAACTTCTTGGGGTCAATTTCGACCCCAGCCTCCGAAATATGCCCCAAAAACTCTAGCCGGCCCTGAAAAAACTCGCACTTGGAACCCTTTGTCAGGAGCCGATGCTCGTCTAAAATCTTAAACACTGCTTCCAGATCTGCTAAGTGCTGCTGCTTGTCGCGACTGTAGACGAGGATGTCGTCGAGGTAAACTATCACGCATTTATCTAAAAGTGGCCTAAACACTTCGTTCATGGTCATCTGGAATATCGCTGGTGCGTTGGTCAGCCCGAAAGGCATCACGGTGTATTCGAATGACCCGTACCTAGTCCGGAAAGCTGTTTTGGCGCAGTCCGATGGTTCGACCCTAATCTGATGGTAACCTCCCCGTAAATCTATTTTCGAAAAAACCCGTGCTGTTCGCAGTTGGTCGATCAGTTCGTCGGCGCGGGGAATGGGGTACCGCGACTTGACTGTTACCCTGTTGAGCGCTCGGTAATCGATGCACATGCGAAACCCTCCGTCTTATTTTGGCGTGAACAGTATCGGTGCGGCGAACGGTGACGAGCTCGGTCGGATGAATTTCTTCGCTAATAAGTAATCTAACTGCTTCCTCAGTTCGTCGAGCTCGGGTTGTGTCAGTCTGAACTGTCGCTGTACAGTTGGCTGTGCCCCCGGTTCTAATTCTATTCGGTGGTCATGTGCTCGCTGAGGTGGCAGTCCTTCCGGTAAGTCGTCGGGAAAAATCCCGGGGTATCGTTTCAACAGTTCCTGTAGTTCGGGCGGTACTGCTGCCAGCAGTTTCTTGAAATCACTCGGCTACTCTGCTCCCTCTACCACTGAAATGCCTACTGCGTACACGTCACCTCCAGCAGCGACAGCTCGTTTCATGGTGACGGCGTTGACGTGTACCGTTGAAGACTCGGGCGACTGCCAGCGAGGTATCTCAACCCAGTTACCGCTATTTCGCACAGTGCAGCTACCCGTTGTCCAGTCAATTCGTGGGTTATACCGTCGCAACCAATCACGTCCCAGTAAAATGTCGTGCCCATCGAGTGTCGTCGCGAGCATTTCCTGTGTAAATCCGAAATTTACCCCGCAGCGGACTTTGACTCTCTCCACCTTTTCTCGTATGGCCAGTGGCGTGCCGTCAACTAAGCGTGCATCTTTCTCAGGTAAACAACGGCTAAGTGTCTGTTGCAGTTCGCGTGCGGTTGCGGTATAAACTAAATTGTGACTTGCTCCTCCGTCGATACAAATCTTCATTGTTGCTCCCTGTATTTTCCCGTGGATCAGTACTGGGCAATCCGTCGCTATACCCTCCTTATTCGTCCGAGTCCGATTAATAGCATGAATCGGTACTGTGACTCGGTGAGGGTCGGTGGGGTTGGGCGAGCAGGCAGTCTCGTCAGTAGTTGGCCCGATTCCTACTGACTGCTGGCGTTTCCCTTCCTTGGAGACTCCTTCCCCTGCTCTGCTCCGCGGCGCCTCAGCTCCTCTGGGCATTCACTCTTGCGATGGCCCGGCCTATTGCAAGCAAAGCAACGCCCCTTAAACGGCGCGGCAGCTGCATTCGTCGCAACGGCATGTACGGTGGCGTGCTCAATCGGTCCCCGAGGACGATGTCCGTAGTAGGACCCCGGTCTCGGACGGCGCAAAATGTCGATTTTCTCGGCGAGCGCGAGAATCTCGTTGAAGTTCGAGAGCCCGCGTAGCATGATCTCGTGCGAGATGTCCGGCTTCAGCCCTCCGACGTAACGGTCCACCCGCTCCGCTTCGTGCATGTAGCTGACTTGCTCACATAATGCGAGAAAACCACTCGTGTAGACTTGAACCGACCCGAGCTGCCGCCAAGTACGCAGTCTCTGACGCGCCGAAATAGAAGCCGCGATTGGCTTGAAGCGCGCCCGAAGCCCTGCGCACCACGCATCCCACGTGCTGTATTGGGCGGTTTCGCAGAATGAACTCCAAGTGACAGCTAGACCCGTGGGCCCTTCCTCTTGCGACGGTGGCTCGTAGGCGCGTGGCGACGTCACGATGACTCGCCACCAGTCCATGGCGGGGCCCCTCAGCAGCGAGACGACATATCGGATCTTCGCTGCGTCCGACTCGACGTAATTCACGTCGAAGAAGACGTTCATTGTGAAGACCCACGATTGAACCGTCGGACCTCCACGCGGGCTCGGGTCGAAGCAGAGCCCGCGGCTTGAGTGGCATTGGTGCCATAATGGCCTGTTCGCCACTTGTCTCCGCGAACTCCACGTGCCGACGGGCTTCA